CTTTTTCTCTTCAATCCATTAAACTATATTTCTTTGTATAATTTAATAAAATCTTAATTATTTTTTAAATGCTAATTCACTATTTAACAATAATATACTACCAACCTACAAATTAGACAATAGCAACATAATAAATCACCCATCCTAGACATAAAAGCACTAATAACACAAATATTCAAGAAAATCATTATTAAAATAATATATGTATATTTCAAAGCATATGAATTTTCACTCATTCATATACCAACTAAATTCAATCGGGTTTTCGGTTAAACCCCAAACAAAAAAATGTCCAAAAAGTAACAAAATCCCATCTATAAAACATCATAACGCATCATCACTTTCTCCGGCTCCGCGCTTGCGCGGAGCTATGAATATTTCATATATCGAAAGAAACAGGGAATGTATTGAATCAAGTTGAGTTTATTTAAATGATGATCTGATGCATTAGTACAAACATCTTTTAATCTCTTTTAGATAACAAAGGACATGATTCTCATGACATCTGAGAAACTCATGAATACAATAGTATTAAATACTTTAATCAATCTGACCAGTAAATAGATCATAGAATTGGTCTGACCATAAGTAACTTGTTTTCCAGTTTTAGATTCGTGTTTAGTTTTAGTGACCCAAACACTAAACCAATACAATATTGGTTTAGTAATTATATTTCCAATTTGGTACGGTATAAACCGGTTAAACCTAAAGCGTAGTCAATTTGGAAAATATCTGTTATTGGACGGGGAGTTTCAAATCGGAAAACTAAACCCTAAAAAAAAAACGAACACACTCGATTTTGTTAATCATCTCTCCGATACCGGAAATAATCTTCTCGTGTTGGGTGAAAGAGCTACGATGGCGAAGAGAGAGATTAGTAGCACTCTGAGAAATCTTAAGGTTTGTGTCTCAATCAAAAAAAAAAAAAAAAGAATGGGATTGGTTATTATTAGTTGAATTCGAGGTTGAATTAGCTTTTAGTTTGATTCACCTGTTTTGGTTTGCGTCTAGAGCTTAAAGAATTAACCTTTGTTTACATCATTTGATTTGGGACTTAATTTTTCAATTTTTTTACTTGAGAATTATTGCATTATCATTTATGCTGCGCCAAAGTGATGTGGAGGACGGAAAAGAACTGTTATTTCTTCATACTCATTATGAGATTAAGTTAGTTTATGAATATAAAATGATTGTTCCTCTTTGATCTCTAGTTTATGCAAAGGTCTGCTTTGAAAGAGGAGAAGAAGAATAAGAAGATTGATGAAGAAGAGCCTAATGCGATTTTTACTTCCACTAGTACTGTTAAAAAGAAGTGGTACCATTTCACTTTCTTTCTTCTTTATTGATGTTAAATGTTTTGTCTCATCTAATGTGATTTGATGATCGATGGCAGTGTGGTCATAACAGACTGGGATCCTCAGCCAGGAGCGTCTTTAGGACGCGTGTCATTTCAGTCTTTCAACCCTTCTATCGAGGTTTGTCTCTGTTTCCCTAAAGAGCCTGAATCAGTTTGATGTTCTTACCATTTAGCTTTCTGTAATATTAATCTCTTCTTTCTTTAGAAACTGAATGAAGAAGCGATAAGCGGTCCAAAAACAGATGCTTCTCCCACTAGCTCTAGCTGTAATGGAGGAAGAATGTCTTTTAGGTTTGTACACTTTGCTTTCACAATTCCTTTTTGGTTTCTCAACAACTTAATTTCCCTTTAGAGAGTGTGCAATGGATTCTGTTACCTATCATTTGTTTTCATCTCCTATTTTCGCTTCTTATAACGATTTGTAAGTAGCTAAAATGTATCGTCTTTCAGTGAACCCAAGATTGAGACAAGAAGGGAAACAAATGGTGACTTGAAAAGGAAACAGTCTGAGGAACAAAACCATCCAAGCAAGTCACTCAGGAGCAATGAGAAACCACCACCAAGCAACCAAAAAGGCAATGGTTTCAAGAAACCCAAGAGCAGGCAACCAAAACCTCAAACCAAACATTAGCTTAAACTACAAGCAAGCCTAGTTCAAATTTAGCTCTCACCAGTTCATATGTGCTATAGTAGATCATTCATTGCGCTGTCTGTATCATCATTCACGTTCTGTAGCAACCCGCTTGATAGATTATAGCCCAAAGTTTTGAACTATCTACTTGGATATTGTATGTTTGTGTTAGCTCCACCACATCTATGATGAAACAGGTTGTCTTTTCTTTCAAATTCATGATTACTATACATACATGTTGTACTTGCAGGAAAGATAGAGATGCATTCCATTCTTGAGAAACAAACAGATTCTACAATACCATTGTCAAACAAACAAAATAATGAAGCAATCATAACAAACTTTCAAATGATTATATGATCGTCTCTTGTTAACTTCTCTGCAGGTTTCCAGCAAGAAAAAGCATAGATGACTCTTCCTTTCCACCCCTGAAGCATCCAGTTGCTATCACTATCAATCAAAAAGTCTTTATGGTAACGTTTCCTCACAATCTCTTTAGCACCCTTCAAAATCTCCTTACTTATCATCGCCGGCCTAAACCCTGCTCTCAATATCCTAACACGCCACTGCTTGTACGTCTCAGGCCTTGCAAACCTCTCAACACCTTCACTAGATATCACACTCATGGCGTCTCTCACAAGCAACTCTCTCTCCAGCAACGCCCTGTTCTTGTACTCATCCTCCGCTTGTATTGTTGTGTCAAACATGTCGAAGAGTGAAGAGAAATGAAAGAGAGCTTCTTTGAACCTCGTCATGAAGAAAGGAGAGTTGTACATCCCGTTGATCTCCGCAAAGACGAAGAGGTCAGGGTTGATATCTCTGAAGAGCTTCAGAACCGTGTCTCTCGGTGAGTCTAGTGAGACTGTCTCGTCAGGAGTGTATTGTAACCGGTGGATGCAGTTAACAACCGTTGTCTCTCCTGGAATGATCGTTATCTCATCAAGAGTGATGCTTTCCCATTTTTTAGCTATGAAGTTGAACTCAAACGGGACGTTGAACATATCACAGAATCTTTTTAATCTCCGACCAGTTTCCTCAACCCTGTCTGAAGGTCGGAAACCAGACTGTGGAAGCTCTATTCCTGTCACACGAAGCTTTGGAGGTCCTCCTGGTCTTTTAGATAGTGCTAGTAACAGACAAGGCCATTGAAAGCCGTAGAGAACCCCAAAGTCAATGATGTGAAGCTTAGTTGAGTTCAAGGCGAGCTCGTAGATTGATTTGTTTGCAGCGAAGTAATCCGCTACGTAGATGGGACAAACATGGACGAAGAGCTTGTAAGCCTTCAAGATGTCGACCATTGATGTTGTACTAGAAGGAAACGCAGTACAGAGAGGAGGCGAGATGATGCCTGTGATACGTGCCTCGAGGGCGTCTGCGAAGTAGAAAGCTAATCTTTGAATCCCATCTCCGGTGTTTGAAGAGTTTGAACGTATCTCCTTGAGCTTCTCTGTTGCTCTTCTATGGTCAAAGCTCGCTACAGCTTGTGCGCATTGAGTCAAGAGACTACGGAGATCAACTGCGTTGGATTTAAGTGCCTTGGATTTGTTTGATGAGCCTTTTGCTTTGTTTGGTGGAGGATTCTGTTTCTTTGTTGTTGTTGTTATTGCTGATGAAGAGTCTTCTTCTTGGTTTGTTTTGCATATCAACAACACGTGCTCCAACTTTGCTGCTAACTCTTCCATGTCCGAGACAAAGGTTGCTGGTTGTTTGTTTCTCCTACCGTTTCCAATATCATCTTCTTCGTCGTCTCGATGACGGTACTTTCTATGAGATTCTCCTGAATCCGTTAAAGTTGTTGTTGTTGTTGTGGTGGAGTTTCCGGAGGAAGTTGAGTTCTGATCAGAATCCGAAGATGGTTGGTGGAGTAACTCGTGGAAGGATCTCTCCGCAGCTTGTAAGGCAATATTGTCCTCCACGAAATCTTCTTCGTCCATCAACATGTCGTTGATGTACTTGAGAACAGGAGCGTTGTCCTGACATATTGACGGTGGAGAATCTGTCGGTGAAGACTGGTTGTCAACAGAATCAAGATTGTTTCTGAGTTTGCAGCAAGTTCCAGATCCAGATCCGTTGCTGTCGTATCTGAAACCATCAACAGAGACTTGAAGAAGAGCGTCCATGAAGAAGAAAGAAGAAGAAAAGAGTTTGAAAGCCAAAAAGACTTTTCAACGAAGAGAAGAAAGCGGTGCCGAAAGTTCCTTGTGAGCACAGTTGAGAGCTTGACTTGAGAGAGAGCTTATATTTGAGGAGGGGTTATGTTTTTTTTTTACACATTTTACAGGGAAAAAAAAAGAAGATGGAACTTTCGAGGAAACACAAGATGCCGCCACAAAAGGTGGATTCACGTTATTACCAAACACAATGGTTAGTTAATTTGTGTCGGATCTATCTGCAACTACTTAACTAAAGAGTTTTGTAGTTTTTTGTTTGGTATCTTATTTTCTCTAGTCACCTCCACTTTGCTTTGCTTGGTCACAAATAAAAGTCAATTACGTTTTAATACTTATATTTTTGTTCAAACCTTTTAATAAATTAAATACTCAATTTTTGTGAATAGAATAAACGAATTCTTACAGTTTCTAACAACTACAAAAACTCTTATATAGATTCTTGTTTCCTATGGTGTTCTCCAAAGTTTTTAAACCCTCAAGTTTAACCCTTAACCCCATAAAACAAAACAAAAAAAAGTTGACAAACAAAATCTCAGACATGTCTAGCTTAGCCTAGACGCTCTTAACTTCTTTTTTAAAAATGTATATTAAGTTTATATAGAAAGCAAAGCTGAAACATATAAGATTTTTTAGAGAGAGAGAGAAGAGAGAAAAAGAACATCGGTCGCCGATGTCCGGAGGCGCGTCCGCGCGCGTGCCGGTGTCGGTGGTTCTTTTGTCTTCTGTTTTAGTTCAGTAGTCTCGCTGTGGGCTTCGATCTGTCGTTTTTTCCGATATACTGGCGGTTCTGGGTTAGGGTTTTGCGTCAGGAAGGACTCCGCTCGTGGGGTGTTTTGTACGGCGACATCTCTGCTTTCTCTGGCTCCGCCGTGAGGTTGAAGGGCGGTATATCGAAGAGGCCGTCGGCTTTGAGTCTAGTGTTATTTTCCGGGGGGTAGAGGCTCTCTCAGCTCTGCGACCGTCGGCCCTTGTTCCCGGGAGACGATGGCTTCGTCAGCATCGCCTTCGCCGGCTCCAGTTTCTGGGAGGTGGTAGCTCCGTTAGTACCGCTCTCTTCAGTTTAGTTTTTTCTTTAGTTTCTTGTAGTTTTTCCTTTCATCTTATTCTACGAGGTCTTTCTTCAAAGCTTTTGCGCCTCTTGATCCTTCTCCTGAAACTGCATCGTGATGAGGGTGGTGATGGATCGATTGTAGGTGGTCAATCAGGTAACCTCGTAGATTGTGTTTGGTGTGTGGTGTTCTGTCAGTTTGGGATTCGGATGAGATCGACTTATGTCGTCTGATGCTCTTCGATGGTTGGTCTCCCAAACGGTGAAGGTAGCGCAGGATCGAGTTGCGGATGGTGCGGCACCGTTGTCGTCCGTGAGCAGCGGAGATTAGGGTTTCATGCCCTTGGGCTGTTGTGTTGGGCTTTAGGCCCAGTTTGTATGGTCTTTTTGGATGGGCCAACAGTTTGAGTCTTTGTTGTTGTAGTCTGATTGGGCTTGAATTTTTTTTATAAAATGATTCAGAAGGAAAAAAAAAAATATTAAGTTTATATAGAATAGTAAAAATATATCTTCATCGGCACTTCGAATCCTAGGCACATCGTCTAAGCGGCTCAAAGCAAAATAGAATAGTGCTTGACAATTAAATGAACGTTACTATTTTCAAATCTCAACTCTTTTTCATTTTTGTATTATATAAAAAACCTTAGAGATAAATCTTGATGTCCAAGGAATTGGACAAATATTTTGGACGAAGTGATCGTGGATACCAACCCTGACCATTATTAATTAATCATTTAGAAAATCCTTTCATATCTTTGACCCTGTCTATATTCCTTGAACAGTCAAAATTCAAAAGACGAGGCGATTAGGTTCCTTAATACGGTCCTGACTGCGCCCTGAATACATAGAATTAGTTTTCAAAACTATACAAAACAACTAATGATCAATAATCTAACAGGCACATAGTTTTCGGTATACAGTTAGTCATGGGAAAAATAAAGGTAGAGGGAAAGAGAAAGAATTAAAGATGACTGTGACTTGTAACTTGTTTGTCCACATTCAACTTATCTCCCAACTATTCTTGTTTCCTTTTTTATATATATCATATGCTCAGTCCTAATTATGATATGGTGGCAGTGTGGCACCGGCGAATATGAAGGTCATATGAAGTTCTGATTCTATGCAAGTTGTAATTTGTGACATTTCAATTTTAATTCGTTAAAGAAGTAACAAAAGGTATTTGTGATTTGCTTCGAATGTTACGAATATCTAATTTTGGTATTTGCTTTGCTTCGAAAAATACGAATATTCAGAAAATAAATAGATATTTTCGAATATTTACGAATATTCACAAAAATTTCATTCATTTTGATTAATACAAATAATCTTAAAATTTTGATACGAATTTGCTTTGAGAAAACAGTTTTTGCATGATATATAAAAGGAAAATAAAAAAACTAGTGAATTTACATATTTTGTAATTTTTTAAGTTAAGTTACAATTATAGTAACAAACAATTTAAGAAAAAAAATATAATTATCATAATTTTTTTCTCTCTTTTAATGTAATACTTTTATATAAGTAATAATGTAAATATAATTTTTCAAAATCATGTGCTAGAATAATAAAATTATAATTTTATACATTTAAAATTTTAAATATAATCAAGATATACATATATTTATATATTTCCGGATCGATTTTAAAAGATATTGATTTTTAATATTTGATTTGATTCGAAAGTTTACGGATATCTGAAATTTTTGGATCGAATTGAAACGAATAACGAGTTGAATCAAATTTAACGATAAAATGTCCAGCCCTCTATAAAGGTATATAAACATCTTCAAGCATAAAAAAAGGTACGAAAAAGGAAATTTAGATCGTTCTCGATATATAGATACTTATATTTGCCATGAAGTATGAACACATATTTTCTTAATTTGTGTTAAACATTCGATTGAGTTGACCATCAAGAGAGAATAGCCTTTGAATCAAGATGCTGATCTCACAGACATCAAGAGAGATTAGCCTTGTTTACCCTCATACCCACACGCGTGTGATTGACACGAACCAATCACAACTTTGATACTAAGCTTATTGGGTAGGGATCGCACGACCAAGAGCGCGTGAATGACTTCGTCTCACATTGTATGTTGCTTTTATTTGCAGACATCATCATTAATATAGTGATACTATTGTTAATTACTGGATTATTCTTCAACTTGGGCTAAGTTGTTTAATTAAACCTGGTATCCTTTAATGATTGTCCTTTCTTTAACGTCGCTAAATAATTTACACACGAAAATAATTGATTAAATAGACGTCATGAATGACAATCACAAATTTTATCCGAGCCTGTTAATGGGCTTGCACAGCCCAAAAAGTACATCATGATACTCCCTCCACCAAGTGCTTGCTCAGGAGGAAACATTCATCCAAACTTAAATCTGTGATCTTCACCTCTTGAGCTGGTTTCGAAGGCGTAGGTTGATACTTGAGCTCGTTATTGTTGCTGGGATCCAATGAACTAATTCAGAGACCCTTAAAAGTGGTCAAATCAGGAATGCATACACTTATCTTATTGTCACAGAATTATGCAGCCACACAAACAAAAAGATCGTCTCGGACAAGATCAGAAGAAGAGATAATCAAAGTGTTTGTTTTTAAGCTCATGTGAAGCAATGTGATGACCCTTGGAGCCAAGCAAACCATTAAGAGATCATCAAACCAGGTCATCTCATGTTGTGCAATGGTTCTGCAAAAATTTATTTCTTTTATTTAGTTGTTACCACTTTTACCAGTTCCATTATATAAATCAAAGAAACTAAGACGTAGTAGTGATGTCAACGATAATCATGTTACCTCCACTGTTTAAAATTGTAAGATTTTGGTAGGCCTGGGCATATTTCCCGGTCCAAGATCCGAACCGGTACCAATCCGAAAAATCGGGTTTTGGGTCGGATCCGGATATGACGAAATACCCGATTGGATATGCTTTTATTTATGTTTCGGGTACCGGGTCGGATCGGATATTACCCGAGATCCGAATAATTATCCGAAAGTATCTGACTCTTATCTCATTAAGGCATTAAACATAGATTCACATGATATTTCTCTTGTAAATGTTTGAAGTTCTTGTGATCGTACTCTTTTTTTAAAGTAGGTGAAATGCGTTTAGCAATATACCAAATGTTGTTGATATTCTTTTATACATCTTCTTATAGATTTATTTCGAATTTTCAATTATTCTTTAAGTTTCGTAGCTTCTTAAAGTGATTGAAATATTAGATTTGTTGTTTGTTTGAAATTTGTTTAAGACTTGTTCTATTTGGTTTTAGAATTCCCTCATTTATTTTTTACTCTAAATGATTCGGGTAAATCGGATTAGAAACAAGTATTTTTGGTTATGATCGGGTAAAATTAAGAGAATCCAAACCGGAACCGGATTTTTTTCGGTTACTTCGGATATACCCAAAACTATCCGGATCCGACAGGTACCGAACCGAATCCGATCCGAAATTTTGAAATACCCGATTGGATCCTATTTTGCCATATCCAAAATATCCGATATCCGAAATACCCGATCCGGTACCCGAATGCCCAGGCCTAGATTTTGGTACGTTGTTCCTTTACGTGGTCACGATAGTTACACTTGAAAGACTCGAGTTGTATGAGATATCAATCAAACAACATCTTATCAGTGAAATCAGTTATGCAAAATACGTGTTAAGTTGTCGCTAATTTTCCAGGTACAATAGTTTGAAAGCTTGATATAGTTCCTTAAGAAACACAAACTTGTATAATTACCAAGACAGAAGAAACATTCTAAGATGACCAGAGGAGAGAAAGAGGCTTGCCTAGAGCACACTCCTTAACTTTATCCAACACCACTCCTTGAATCTTCTTCTCTACTTCCTCCATACTTTCACCTGCATCGATTATCTGCATATACCATTTTCAACGTTTTAGAATATAAAAACCCTGCGGACTAGTCACTAAGTAAAGAATAAGAAGAAGAAGAGAGGTCTTAAACCATTCACCTTCCACGAAGAATCACGTAGAGTTTGATAAAACCCCGCAACTTTCGTCTGAAAATCAACCCTCTCGTACCTCTCATCTCCATATCCACCTCTCTCAGCAGCTCTCTCAGGTGAAATATCAAGGAAAACCACAGAATCCGGAGCCAGCAACCCTATCTCCGGAGCCTTGCACCACTCGATCCCTAGCCCTTTAGCTGACGAGAAAGCCACACCAGAATAGGAATAACGATCAACTATAAGCGTAGTTCCTGTCTTAAGCTTCTCCTCCATTAACGACCTACCAAAGAAAAAATTTAATCAAAAGGGAAATAAGCTAAAAACAGAGAGGAGGAAGTACCTCTTCTCCCAACGGTTAGCGCTGAAGAGGAGATGAATGGTGTGATCATCTAACTGAGACTTGTTAGATAAGTACGCGGATATCATTTGGCCGACACTTGTCTCTCTGTCGGGAAACCTCCAGAGTTCGGTCGTGTGTCCTGAAGTCTCCAAGAAAGAGCGTAGCTTTGCGCATTGAGTTGATTTTCCGCTGCGGTCGAGACCTTCAACGACTATCAATGCACCTCTAGGCTTGGCATTGGATTCGGTAGAAAAGGTGAGATTCTCCATACGAACTGATGAACGCTTGAGTGAGCGGGGGAGGCAGTTGAAGGATCTTGGTGGCAATGCTAAAACTCTGAAACTAATAAAAAAACATATATAAAGTTGAATATTTTGGAAGCAAGCAGATCCGTTTCATGCCAGTTCTAGCCTAGACCCTAAAACTCCATTAGAAATTGAAAAAAAAAAAAAAAAAGATAAGGAATCGGGAAAAAGGAAAGGGCTTTTCGTGGTATTGGACTCACCTGGAACCAATACTCGTCCGAAACATCAACAGGAGGTTCGTCAAGGTTGGGTAAAACGACGCCGGATTATAGCTGCTGGAGAAGAAGAAGAACAAGATCGAACAAAAAGAAAGTGAGACAGAGAGAGAGAGGAGGTTAGGTTTTTGGCAGAGTTAAAGGAACCCTTCAAGTGGCTCAGAGGGTTTAGTCTGACTAAAGAACTCGGTTTCTGCTAAAAGCTGAACCGGATTTTCAACTAGCTCACCCAACGACCGATATCAGACTAGCCGGTCCGATTTGGTTCGAAAATGTATTTAGCATCATCTACATTTCTTAATCCACTCTGGCCTGAATTCAAGCAGACCTCTGACTGAGATATTTATTACATGAAAGATTTTGCAGTGACTTTTGCCCTCATTAGTTATGCTTGTGGTAGCTTTTACAATTTATAATCTGACTAGTATTTTAATTACCTAATTATTGAAAGATTTACTTTTAACACAGAATAACAATATGAGAGTGAAACAAGTCTGAAATAGAGAATGTAAGAGCAAGTCCATTGGGGATACTGATCCCGGGTTCTTTAAAAAAAAAGGGTGAAAAATAAATCAAAAAAGAGAAAAAAAGTGGGAAGCGCTACTTAAATGGGGGCTTCTGGGGTTGGGTAAGTACCCTTACGTGGCACATTTCGATTCGACCACACCAATTGGTATCTCTCTCCTTCTGTGTCTTTCTCCCGAAATCCAAAAGTCTCGAAAACTCTCTCCATCTCTCTATCTTCTCCGGCGATATCTTCTGTGTTTCTCTTCCTCGTCTCGATCTCTCGATCACTCGAGTTTTAGATCTCTCGGTGTCTTTGTCTCTCCATCTCTCCATCTCATCTCTGGATTTCTCCGTCTCTCCATCTCTTGATTTCTCCGTCTCTCCATCTCTCCATGCTTCTGTCGATTCTCCGACGAGTCTGCCTCATTTCTCTGCCATGGTCTGAGGCTCTGATGAAGGTCTGAGGCTCTGATGAAGGACATAAGACAGAAGGAAGTTCTTCACAGGAATCAGTTTGAAGGGAAACCAAGAATGCATGCAAGGATCAAAGTCATACAAGAAGCTAGATAGGTACGAAAATCTCTTTCTCTAACAAAAAATCATTGTCGATGATGATTTAATGAATCGTTTGGATGCTTTGAATCAGCTTCAAGAGAAACAAAGGATGCATGCAAAGACCAAAGTCATAGAAGAGAGGCGACAGGTACGAAATTAAGTTTCTCTGTAATGATAACTTGTGAATCATTTAAAAAAAAACAATTGAACTTGTGAATCATTTTAAAAAAAAAATTGAACTTGTGAATCTTGTAAAAAGTCGAACCTTTTACATAGTATCCGAGTTAGAAAATAGGAAAAAATGGAGTCTTTTGCAATGAAACAGGGTTTGGTATTGCATACAAACAGAGTTTGGTTTGGTTGTTAGATAGAAAGAAGTGATGATGATGATGAGATTATTCGTTTCTTTGTTTCGTTGTGTTGTTAAATAGAAACATCCTTGGTCCAGCCTTATGTGAAACAATAATGATGATGAGATTATTGAGAACATAGATTGATTCGAACTTGTGATGATGGTTAAGCTTCGTTAGAAAATAGGAAAAAATGGAGTCTTTTGCAATGAAACAGGGTTTGGTATTGCCTACAAACAGAGTTTGGTTTGGTTGTTAGATAGAAAGAAGTGATGATGATGATGAGATTATTCGTTTCTTTGTTTCGTTGTGTTGTTAGATAGAAACATCCTTGGTCCAGCCTTATGTGAAACAATAATGATGATGAGATTATTGAGAACATAGATTGATTCGAACTTGTGATGATGGTTAAGCTTCGTTGTTAGATAGAACCATGTAAATTGTTTTACACAAGTTGTTGGTTTTAACTAGTTGTTGGTTTTTAACAACTTGTAATGATGATTAAGTTTTGAACTTGTGTTGTTAGATAGAGAACATTTGAACTCTGTTACACAACTTGTTTTCTTTACCGAGAAAAGCATTTAATTTTACTTTCTTTGTTGGTTGTTGATGGTTGAGGATGCGCGTGGAAGAAAGGCAACGGATTGATGGTCATCAAAGCTTTTGTCTTTAATTCCAGAGTTAAGAAGAGGTAAGTAGATTTTTTCTGAAAATGTAGATTTGCCACTGGAAGGTTCGGCCACTCCCCGTTACAAAAGGCAACGGCAGCTATTCGTATGATGGCATATGGTTGTCCAGCTGATGCGGTCGACGAATACCTCCGTCTTGGTGAGTCTACTGCGCTTTTATGCTTAGAACATTTCGTTCAAGGTATTATAAATATATTTGGAGATGAGTATCTAAGAAGACCCACACCAGAAGATCTTCAACGATTACTCGATATTGGAGAGCTACGCGGATTTCCCGGGATGATAGGAAGCATTGACTGTATGCATTGGGAGTGGAAGAATTGTCCCACCGCATGGAAAGGTCAATATACACGTGGATCAGGAAAACCAACAATTGTTCTAGAGGCAGTAGCTTCACAAGACCTCTGGATATGGCACGCGTTTTTCGGACCTCCAGGTACATTAAACGATATTAATGTTCTTGATCAGTCACCGGTTTTTGATGATATATTAGAAGGTCGAGCTCCAAAAGTTAATTACAATGTCAACGGACACGAGTACCGAATGGCTTACTATCTCACTGATGGTATTTATCCAAAATGGGCTACTTTTATCCAATCTATTTCACTTCCAGCAACTCCGAAAGCTTCTTTATTCGCTACACATCAAGAAGCTGTACGTAAAGATGTCGAGCGAGCTTTTGGAGTCTTGCAAGCTCGATTTGCCATAGTCAAAATCTTTTGTGGGATAAAATAAAAATTGGAAAGATAATGAGAGCATGTATCATTCTACATAATATGATCGTAGAAGACGAACGAGATGGGTACATTCAGTTTGATATATCAGTTTTCGAAAGTCCGGATTCAAACCGAGCTTCAAGAGTGGATTTATCGTTTTCTACAGATATGCCTTCAAACCTCGGCAATATGTTGAACATTCGGAATGAAGTTCGTGATAGAAGAATACATGAACGATTGAAAGCGGATTTGGTTGAGCATATATGGCAAAAATTTGGAACAAATCAAGATTTCTACTAATTTCTCTTTGTCGTTTATGATTTGTATTTGTATTTTTATATGTTATATGTTATTTTTAATAAAAAATTTATATATCTTTTTTTTCAAAATCATCAATTTCAAATTTTTTTTTTAAGAACCTCAGTTAGGTTCTACCAATGGAGGCTCAAAAATTAATTACACTCATAGGAGTACTTAACCTTTCAAATCACACAATAAAACATTAAATTAATCCTTAAGTACCCATTAGGGGTACTCATGGATGGAGTTGGTAACAAACCATGTACAAGAAGAATCCTCTAAAAAGCCCTAAATTGGTCAGGAACATCCACCTTATTCCAATTAAAAACTTTTTACATTCAGAAAGTTAATTCAGAATAAAAAACCAAGAAACAAGTCAAAGACTAAATTTGTGCATCTATGTCGTCAGAATCTTACAGCAAATACACAAAGGGGAAAGATAGATGATCTGCAAAGCATAATTGATTAGAGAAGCAACACAGCCTCTGGTTTAGGCGGCAGGGAAAGTGTCTCGTGCAGCTGCACGTGTTGCTGTGACCAGTAGCCGTGCGCATTCAAGACCCTGTTTAGAAGTTCCTGCGGCACTGGCTCGCCTCTCCTTTGCTGTGGTGATATCTTAGCCGTATGGACCAGTGTTTTCCACTTGTCCTGCACAATAAAACGAAAACACTCTTGGACTCTGATTCGGATTTGTTAAGTATGGTAACGGATTAAAGTGACAAACCTTGAGATCAACGTAAGTGCGGTGGTCTGCATCTTCGAAAGCACTATGCTTAACATCTCTCCACCTGCAAAATCATTTCTCTACTTTACAACCACAAATATAACAATGCTATATATGTATGATCTGTATTTGATTTTTCTTTTTTACCTTCCAGTGCCGAGTTTCTCAACGGCTTGAACAAGTGCTTCTACTTCAGTAACAGAGAAAGGTCGACGCATTCTTCGCTGTGCAGTCTGCTGCTGCTGCTGCTTAGATTTGTGACGAGGCAGTTGAGGAGACAGTTCGGAAAGCGCAGCAGGAACCAGAGCTTTAAACTCATCTGTCGCGGTTTCCTTGTCAAACGAGTCAGATGGGAATAGTGCTGAATCATGCTCAGATTTTACCACAGCGTCCATGTTAGAACCATGGCAAATGGCCAATTCCTCGCAGACATGTCCCAAAGGGTTACTGGAAAACAAAACAATAACTTTTAAGTCGCAAAACTTTGTTTTGAGTTTTTAAATTCAAGGTATGAATAGAAGGGTGAACCTAGATAACAGATGAGGCGCTTCTGAGCTAGGTTCAAGGCTGAAATCAAGAGAGTCCAAGTGGGTGTTGTCTTGAGAGATCCCAGTCTGATGAAGTGTTTTGTTATCATCTCTGACTTTCTTCCCCTGAACCATCAGACCAACTCGGTGTCCATCACTCAGTAAAGTACTCACTGCTTCCATCACCATTCTCTAGTTAAAACAAAAGGACCATCAGAACATAAGTGAGTTGCAACAGAAGGAAAAATCAAAGAGCTGTGTAATGATGTTACCTTCAAGGAGCCAACAGTAGCGGTTTCTGGAATCTCTACGAAAAGCTCAGGCACCCTGAATGACTTGATCCGCAGTTTCACTGAGATAAAAGCAAATTACATTCTAACTTAAGTTTATTTATTTTCTTACACAAGTAGAAAATACAAAAGATTTCAAACGAGACTCCCTTGTTACCATGAGAGTCGCGTGACACAAAGGATGCACCTGGACCTTTCATAGTAGAAAAAGTTCTGCTGCCTGTAAAAATAAATAGCAGAGTTTTACAACAACCAAAATAATAGCTACAAGATATAGACAGAGGAATTAGAGCAAATGAAAAATCTCTTTAACCTCTTTGCATCTTAGAGTGCAGACGATAATCATCAGAATCAGAAATGTTGTCAAAGTATTTCCTTTTCTTGATAGGATAGCTTCTCTGATGGTGCAAGTAATAGTTCCTCCATGATTTGGCATCTGTAACACCAAATGCAAGTAATTAAGATTTGATAATAGAGAAGAAAACTTAGGCGAGTGGGTTACTACCTGAGTGTCTTGAGCTTCCCTTCCAGTGTCTAGAAGCCAATATCTTCCTGATTCTTCTGTCTCCAATACGCGGCACAGACCTAGGTGACTTTTTGGTAACACGAGGGCATATATACCCAGAAAAGTTTTCATCATCATCTCTACTAAACATATTTACATCATCCAAAGCGCCGCCACAGAGAGCATCAGCACCCAGTGAAGGCACTTTGGTTCTACTACTACTACCTAAACTAGCTACACCATTAGGCCTCGCATCCAAAACTACAGCATCACCATCTATACTCGGTTTTAACTCCTGACCGGCTTGACAAGAAGCAATACCAGCAGAGTTGCTAAAACCCCCATCCTCAGTCTCGACTTTGCCATTAATCACAGAACTGAATCCGCAAGGGCTCAGTGATCCCTGATAAGGATTAACATTGGTTAAAGTTGCAGGCTTTAAGGGTTTATCTTCCACCGGGAACTCCTCCTTTACACTGTGCTTTTGTGTAACGAGACAATGGTCTTCTTCAACCCCATTAACCGGTTTGTCAATAGCCATGTTCTCACATCCGCTCTCAGAGAGTAAATTTTCAGCTACGGTGGCCAATAGATCAATTGCACACGTTTTATCATTTTCACTTATCTCCTTCTTGATGCTACGCCTCTTCTGTCCAAAACAAAAGAACAAGTGAAACTCAAGAAAATTGTATAAACTGATTATTGAAGGAAACACCTTAAGAACAAAACAAAACAAAACCAGAGGAAGCTAATGTTAAGGCAAATTACCCTAGCAGATCTGGGGGCTCTAGCATTGGCAGGGAACTGTAAAGAGAACTCTTCTACACACTTATGCGACACCATTTCTCAGTATGCATAACACAGAGTATGTGATCGTCACAAGAAAGACGCTGGTGTTTCCTTATCACACCAACCAACGAATATCCTTCAAGAGTAATTCAAGACCTGCAGAAAAAAAAATGAAAAAAAAAATCAAATTAAAAACAAGCCATGGAGATCAACAAAACGAGATAAAGTGCTATGAAAGTACAAAACAAAAGGGGTTTTGTCTGAAACTTTTGGGTCAAATCCGTGAAAATAGCTAAAACCTCTCTAAAACCCTAATCAACTCATAAGATCCGAAACCGTCAGGAAAACCCTAAACCCTAACAAAAGAATTTGAACAAAAAACTGGATCTCAAGATCAAAGGATCAACAGATCAAGGGTTCTAAATCTCAGATCGGGTTCACAGATCCACGAATTACCCAGGAATAATTAACCCACAAAAATTTCAAACGGAAAATTCCTTGAAAAAAAAAGAGAATTTCATGAAATTTTCCAAGAAAACGAAAGATTCAAAGGAGACAATACAATTGAAAACCCAAAATCTCTCACCTGTATAAACCCTAATCTTTCAGTTTTCAGAAGAAAGAAAATTACGGGGAATATTCCGGCGAATAAACCGGCAATTGCGAGATCGGAAAGAAAAAGAGAGAAAAACGCAAAAGGAAGGAAAGAAGGATTCACACCAAAAACCCCTTTGTCTTCTTAACACATGCGTTTTCCCGAGAAAGCGACGGAAACTTTTTTTTTAATTTTTTTTTTACTTGTCTGAAACGCTACCCACACGATTAAATCTCTTCTCACCACAAGCAATCTCTCAATCTCTTTTCTCTCTCTCTCTCTCCGAAACGCCTAAAAACCAAAAACCCTTAAGAAAGACGACCACGCTTTTTTTTGGCTTAAACCCTTTTTAAGACGACTATATACTGACCTTTTCACCGGACGAGCCGGTATTACGCGTTGTTTAAACCGGCGGGGATGTTCATTCGTAGACCAGGTTCCCCGCCACGCTTGACATGCTTGTAATCCCCTTCCAGATCTCACCACGTGGCGATTGGTGTACAGTCACATGAGTCTTGGACCCACCCAATGAGATGTATACATGTCAAACCATTAACTGAATATGTATTAAGAAAATAAATTATTATTAATGAAAGAATATGCAATTATTAACTTGCAGATTCTTTAATATTTCAACTACTTTATTATTATTTTTAGTAAACAATTTGTTAAATTAATTGAAATTCCATATTTATATCCTGAAGAAATCTGACCTTTAACATATGAATCTATACAAACTTTTTATAATATCTTTTAACTAGATTTTAGTCATAGGGTTAGAATAAAATTTCAACTATAAAGTAGATTTTGATCTGCGCTTTTCAAGCGCGGAAATTTTTAATAATTAAAAATTTATATAATTAGGTTTTGTATTTATTTAAAGTACGTTTTGGTATAAAATTAGTAGTCCAAAATTTGTGGTGGTGATTATTTTGCATTAGTTTTAGTTTCAGCTTATATTTTTAGATTTAATTTAAGCTTTTGGTTTTTTTTTTTTTTTAGTTTTTAAGTTTCGATTTTTGATTTTCAGTTTTTGGTTTGAGTTTTTAGTTTTTAGATCAGCTGAGTTAGTTTGAATTAATATTACCAACAAACAAATCACAAATAATCGAACATCTAATTTAAAACAGAAAATATGACAATTTTATTTTCTAAATAAGCAAAAGCAAAATTATAACATGCGTTTTCAACTTTTGGTTTTGGATTTTAGTTTTTAGCTATAGTTTTTGGTTTTGCTTTACATTTAATTTTTTAAAAATCAGTAAATTATTTAAGAAAAATAAAATAGTAAACTATTTAAAAGTTACCATTAAAATTTATCAAAACAAAGTGATTTTTATTTAAAATAAAAATATATTAATATGTTTTAAAGTACATGATTTAAATAACTAATTAATAATAGAAAATTTTCTTTTGTTAAAAATATTAATTATCTTTGGGCCTGAAAATAGTAATTAACTTTTTGATCCATTAAGGTCGCAGTTTTAGTTAATATTTTTGGATTTTTTCTTTAATACTAAGTCCAAAAATCAAACTATATAATTTGTGCTAAAATAAAAAATAAGTCTAAGACTCTATCCCACAAATAATCGCCGATTTAATTTAAGTAATACCGTTTAATCAATTATTTAGTTTGTATTATTTGTAATGCTTTATAATTAATCCAATCTAAATGACAACGTGTATTAATACATAAAAAGAAATATTTTATTTTAATAGAATAGATAATAATAGTATTTAGGTTAGTGGAAATAGCCTGTTAGCTGTAACTATACGACATTCTGTCACGTGGCAGGTAGATCTACCTCTAAACTACTTAAATTCATATTTAAAATAATAATTACCACTAAACTACTTATATTTTTTCTTGGCCGATTGAGCTTATCAATTTGTTATATTTTTTGCAGTTCAGATCGTTTTGTTTCAATCGAACGGCAGAGGTTATCTCACAATGTAATGAGTCTCTGTTGCACTTTTTAGTCAGTTTGTTAAATACGAAAAGAAACTTTTCACAAGCTATGAACCAATAAAAAAAACTCACAAGCTAAATAACAAGAACCGTCGAAATAAAACTCGTAGGGAAGGATAGATAGATAACCACCGTCGAATTCACGGCATTGAAAGGTTCGGTGAGGCGATAAGAAAGGAGAAACCTTGGGTTGCTATTCGGGTCCACAGACCTAACTGGTGGGACCACATAATTGACAGTGATTATTATCCATAGTGGCAGACATATAATAACATTTTTAATCTTAACGATACGTTAAAGATGCCATTAACCAGCTTTTAAACGTTAATTAGTCAATGTTCCCTTCGAAAAATTAAAATTTTAGCAACTTTTGGTGGATGAATTTTTCGGTATTTTTGTGTTTATACTTAATTTTTATTTTACGAAGAACGTTACATGTTTAACTAAGCACATACAAGCCACATTTTTTTGGTTGGTTTTGAATCCAATTTTGTTTTATCACATTTATATACATTATCTATTATATATTCTTTTGCTGGATTGTGATATCTGTAACTTTGTATGATAAGATTTCGAAACCACCCACGCTTTATCCTTCAAAAGGATAAGATGAAATAAATTGTTTTAAATTGTTTTTTTACTAAAATAAAGCTGAGTAATAAATATTTTATAGCATAGTTGGTTCCATTCAATTACTTGACTCCTCTAGACCAGGGTTCAAACCTAAAACCTCCTACACCATTTATTTAAGCTAAGTTCAAAAAAAAAAAAAAAAAAAGCTGAAAATAGTTAAATGCTTTGTATCATGTTCATGGCCCGTCCATTTAGATAATTATTTATGATTGTAAGGATAAATACTCAACTATCTTGATTGGCTCTGATCTAAAACCATGATACCGGCATCGATCGGAAATCCAATACTAGGATTATCATTTGGATGTACATGCATGTACTCATCCCAAATTATCCCTAATTTTCTCGATAATTTTAACATTCGAATCTACCAAACATTCTGGCCAAACTATGGAAGAACACTTTAAGCAAAAGAAAATAACTATGGAAGAACACGAGTTATATTAAAACTGCGTACGTCAAGTACGTCGAAACCAAACTCGTGTGGTTTACAAAAAAAATGTTATGTCGAGTTTGCATGACGTCTTGAAACTTTAGCACTTATGGAAATACATGAGACTATCACTGAACCTAATAAAGAATCTTTTCATAGTTCACACTCTCGTATATTAGCTTCTTTTCTTACATATTTAAATAATTTGGTCTCTTTATTTATATCTTCTTAACTAATTGTGTAGTGATAATCTTCTTCTAGACCCAAGAGCATGATTAACCCCGAGTTTTTAAATCGGGGTTCTTAACGGAAGCTAATAAACTGTTTTTTAATTTTTAACTAAAAACGCTAAGAACCGATTTTTAAATACGGATTTTAAGAATCGGTTTTAACTAAAAGTTAAGAAACAGTTTTTTAACTTCCGCTAAAAACTCCGCTTTAAGAACTCCTGGTTAATCATGGTCTAAGTCTTTATCAATGCCGATGGTGACTGAGTGATGAGCGAAATAAAATAATATGAATATTACAAATTAGCTGATATGTGGCAGTTGGATATTGAAAAAGTGGTATAGACGTATATAGTACAATAATGTTATTATATAAACATTTAGTGTATGAAAAGTAAGACCACAAAAGTTAGGATAATTACATTTGACGTTTGAAGACAAAGGGGAAAATGCAAGAAGAGAGATCAAGGGAAAGTATATGAAGGTTAGAGGAAACTTTAGGAGACATGGTCGACGTATAAGAGATGATTCACAACACTTCTATATATGTGGTTTACGTAACTTGACTATCAAATATGACGGCATGCTCACCAAGGCGGCTCACAATAGTACCTTTTTCCCGCAATTAAATAGATACATGACTAGTGTCATAACTGAAAACTCGGAACATATTTTTTTCTTATAACAAACGCAGCACATGATGTAGTCTTTATTAGTTAGTTATGTATTCTTTGTATTTATGTCTTTTTTTTTTGTGCAATTGTATTTATGTCTATTGATAAGAGAACGAGAGAATCAATCTCTTTCTAAAATGTCTAAAGCTTCATAGTTGTTTATTTATTAAAAGCTATTTGTTCTTCTATAGTATTGATTACATCATCACATGATGTTTTTATCCATTTACATGTACTTTTTTAATGAAAGTATCCCACCGGTCAAAATCAATTCAATACGTTGAATTCGTTGCAAATTCGCATTTTAAGTCTATACTAGATCTCGACCCGCACAACCGTGCGGGTATTTTAATACGAAATATTTGAAATTATATTATAAAATTTATCAATAAATAAATATAATTTGATTATGTATACTATTCAATTTTATAATAATGTTTATGTGGCTTATTATATAATTAATATAAAATTTATAACTTTGTATTTTTGTAACAATTTTTAAAAACATTATTATGTAACATTACTAATTTATGTATTTTATTTTATTTTAAAATTAAAATATATGTAAAAATTAAATTAAGGTGTACCTACATAATACATAAGCAAAATTTTGGGATACTGTTAAAAGAATTTTACATAATTTTAATTTTTTGTTTATAGCTAAAAATGAATTAAAACTTTAATTAAATAATTTTTGAAACTATATCTTGAAAAGATTCTAAAAGATTTTTATAAATTTTGTTAGAATTTTCTTAAAACTATTTATTTGTATTTCAAACAAAAATTAAAGATATGAAAAGATATTATAATGTTATGTAAAATTTTATAAAATTATAAAGATGGTCAAAACTAAAATATCACACATGAAATGAGTCATGACTTCTCTTTTAATATAAAAAAAATTATCAATAAATAATAATATATTTACTTATATAATCGTGCAAAATACTAAAATAATAGATGTAAAAGTATCATTTTTAAACACAACAAAAAAATATAAATTATCACTAACATATATTTATCTATAGTGTATCTAAATAAATGTAAAAAGTATTGTATGCAAATTCCAGAAATTAAAACTCTATATTAAAGAAGATTATAATTTAATTATTTTAAATTATAATTTATGTATCAAACTCAAAAATATATTATTTATTAATAACAATTAATAAGAATATAAATTAAAATATATAAAACAAATTACTATATATTAATAATGAAGAATAAAAAACTTAAACAACTAAATTATAGAGTTATATAATATATAACATCAAATGTAAATCATATATTTAATTTTTTTATAATACTATCAAAGTGTTATATTTATAAAAAGAAAAAAATTATGTGGGTTAAACTCTAATATATATTTTTTTATTTAGGATT